TTTTTATCCTGCTGTATTTGTCCATATTTCCTATGATGATATTCCCAAATAAACCTGATTTGAGGGCAAGGATTGTGAAGCTCCTGAGTGTTAGTTACAAATTGGATTTCCTGGAGCATTTTTGCTCCTTTGTGTATGACTGACTTTGAGAAGTGACAGTGTGTATATATGGTCATTTCCAACCCTCTGACCCATTTGGGACTCCACAATTTTTCCATTACTGTCCCAGTTTGCCACACAAACTCACTCACACCCTCATAGCACATGTGAAAACAATTTCTTTAAGCTAGTCTTGCCTTCTTAGCCCTTATGGCTAAAATAGCCCCCACATGAAGAAAAACATAACCAATAAAATATTTTTTACACAAAAAAATTCATACTGTGGTTGAAATTGAAGAAGCCACTGGTACTGTACTTGTTAGCAACAGTTCTTCAGGAAGGATATGACTTTGAGAGATACCTCCATGGCATGGTGTAAATTTTATAATCCAAGTTCAGTGTAAATGGAAATAAAGAGGACCCCTTTCTACTTGGATTGAAAATGAATGGAAAGAATCCCATAGGCTCAAACATGTATCAAATCCTAACTAGGTACATGATGAAAATAAATCAAGACAACTACTTTATACCACGTTCTTTGCAGTTCCTCTTTTCCAGGTGCCATCTGAGCTACATGCATGAAGGCCCTTCTTCTTGCAGAGATGCCAGAAGTCAAACAAGCCACTACTGTGATGAAAATGCTTTCAAATTAACAAATCAAGATCACTAGGGGTAAGTGTCTAAAATGTGTATTTTGAACAGACTATACAGTTATTGTATGAGAAAGAGGAAAATGTAAGTATGACTAACATTCTCCAGCAGCAGATTAGAGATTACTGTGTAGAGTAGTTTAGCAGAAAAAAAAAGGTTGTCTGAAAGGAGAGTACATCCCTTTAAAAGCATTTTTTAAAAAATTGCATCCTTGAAAAACAGTATGGAAAAATGAGTGGAATTGAATTTAATGCTGTGAGTAAAAGAAATTGTCCTCTGTCAAACACTGTGCAAACATTTAGGCGACTTCCCTGGAATAATTTTACTTTCCTGGTCATTAAAGTATTTAATGGGTCTTCAGAGACTCCTTTTCCATGTCCCAGGGCAAACATTCAAAAGTTTTATCAAACTGTGAATATCTCAGTTTTCCCCCAGGAACAAGAAAGAAAGTCATAAACATGGAGTTATAAATGGAAAAAAATTTCTTATAAAAAATAGGGAAAACTCTCTTATAAAACTTTTTGGATGAACTTTGCTGCAAAATACTTTATTTGTGCCTAGGCCAGTCCTTTGCTTGTGGTCTTTGAGTGGAGAATTGCTGGGGAACTTTACATTAGCTGAACTTGTACAGATAATATCTTAATAAAATCAGCTATTCTGAGATTACATTACACATAGTACATGAACTTTAAAGCTATTGAGTTTTATGCATTTGCAACATCCTGTATAGGTCATTATGACAAACCAGAAGTAACAAAGTTGTAGCCAAATAAGGGGGTAAAATATCACAAAGGTAGGTGTAATCTTGGCCTTAAGATGGAATAGTTAAGCAGAATAGAAGTTTCTTCACTTTTTTTTTGTCCTGTAGTTTTAAAGCTGTCTCATCACCACATAGGGCCTAATGCTGGTGCACCTACAAGCAACACTCCTGAACCTGCAGGGACCTACAGTCCCCCTACCTGTGGGACTTGTACCATAATACCATGAATAAACATCAAGTTACATGAAAGTATTGGCTAATTGTTTGTATAAGGCCTGATATGATTATCTCAATCAAATTTCAATGAGCCAAAGGGTCAAATTCACCTATGATGCATTTCCATGAAATCCAAGAGAGATGGTGTCAATATACCAGAAATTAATTTGTTAATTAGATAGTAATTGGTTGTCTCTTGTTTTCTCTGTATTCAGCTGGCTTATAGATTTTGTTTTCTGCAGTGCAGGGTTCTCTGAGTGTCTAATGTCTCTGTACAAAGCACATTTTTAACTTTAGCCCATCTTGAATTCTTTTATTGAAATTGTGCTTCCTTATCTTTGAGACTGCTCGACTTTGAGAGAGAACTGTATTTTTCTTACTTGTCAGAAATGAGCATTCACCTTTATTGTTTGGGGTTCAGCAGTAGTTCACAACTGGAAATAATGGCAGCATATTTGGGTCAACCATTTTAATACATGATGCATCTTTATTTTAGTGTTCCCACCTGGGGAGGACTCCTAATCTGCTAGGCACAAGGTGGTTTGGGGTAGGGCAGGACTGTGACTGCAGCCAAAGTAGGTCTGGAGGACACGTGTGTGGTTTCAAGTAAATAGTAGATACAGGACCATGACTACAGAGTTGATATTTCCAGTAAATTAGAGAATAAAAATGTCATGAGCAATTTAAATATTATTTATAGTTGACCTTCATGTCTGTTTTTAATATTCAATCTGCTGAGTGTTTAAAAAAGCAATTAAAAGTCCCATATAATGTTAAAACCCTTGATAAATGTAATAAACAAATGACATATTCAAAAGAGAGAATCTGTGTCCCATTAGGAGAGAAAAAGAAAGATGAGAGCAACATATGGCAGTATAATTAGAATGATTAGGGAAGCACATCAACAGAATTTATGCTGCAGGGAAAATGTAATAAGAAACCAACACACTTTCCTCACTGCCTTGAAAACTGCAAATATCGCTCTCTGAAAAGGAGAAGATGCAGAAAGGGTCCCTGGCATTTAAAGCTGTAACTTGTGTTCTTCTGTCATTATTAAAGATGCACACAGCCATCTGCAAACCATTTATTTTTTGCAGAGTTCACATTGTCCCATTGCTTTGATTAATAAGGAGCAATATTACACCTCAGCTGCTTTTCAGAAAGATGCTATTTTGGAAACCTAATTAATACTCATTCCACAGTTAGCTTGAGGTGTTCGTTAGTGCCAGATACTGAGTTCTTATTTGTTTCTCATTATGTGGAGAGTATTGCTTCTCAATGCCAGCCTTCTTGTTTTGCATTTTGGAATAACCTTTCGACACTCCTGCTTGCCACAGCCCTCCCTTCAGAAGAGCTAATAACACCTGTCATCATTATTTTCACATGCCTGTTAATGTCTGTTGAAGACATTGTAGGCTATTTACATAGATAGGCTATCCTGCTGCACAGCAAATATTCCTGCTATTTTCTGAACAGTTGGGCCAAAGAGAAAAGCAAAATTTAGAAACTTGGAAATGCAATTAAAATCTCAGTTTACCACTAAGGGTCAGTATATACTAGGCAAATGAATCATTATAAAATTGAAAGTGTGTGTATGGCTTAGCAGAATACCAAATAATTTTTCTGCTCAAATCCCTCCAGATTATTTAATAAAAACCACAAAAAATCTACAGCAGAATATAGACACTGAACTTGTATAAACCCCATCAGCCCACTTTGATGAAACAGCCTGAGGTTTAGCAGAGGGTGCACAGATATCTTGCTTGAGATTTGCTCCCAGTGCTGCTATCCTCACTGGAGGATAAAGGAGAGAATAGGGCAAAGCAGACGGCATTTAGCATCCGCTCAGTTGCCAAGTATAATGCTGTGCCTGAAAAGGTTAAATGTAATTGCACATGTCAGGAATCAACAAAACAACTGAGGCTCTTTCTGGAGCTCACTCTTGCTCTGAGCTGCTATAGAAAAAATAATAAAAAGAATGAAAAAAGAACATCTGTGGGCCTGGATACTAACATGGATGCAATAGGAGAGGAAGAAAGGGGAGTTTGAGGGACAGCATGTTTTAAATGTGCCTTTACATTGTCCCCCCAGGGTTAGTGGACAGACAAAGCCTTATTTTCTGCAGGAATAAGGTCCCTCATGAAAAAAAAAAAAAAAAAAAAAACTTGTCTCAAGAGAAAAGAAATGAGGAGGGGAGCCCTGCACCAAGCAGGACATTTTGTTGTACGGTGCCAGCTGTACAAAAGCAGACCTGCAGCCTGCAGGAGCCCTGCTTGGGTCCCTCCCCAGCCATCACAGGCTACCCAGGCCAGCTCTGGAGAGAGCCACCCAATGCTTCACCTCCTGCAGTAAAAGAAATGTTTTTTTTTAAAGAGTGAAAACCACCACCAGGCTGGCCCTTGATATTACAGGACCTGCAGATGAGCTGGGTGTCCCTTCCTTGCTGCCTACCCAGACCCTGGACACCATGGGGGGCCCTTGTCCAAGCACAGGCAACAGAACCTCTCCTGCAGCCCTGCCTCAGGGTCAGTGCTGGATGTGACACTTTTGGTAAAATAACACCAACAGTGCAAGAACTAATGGTGATTTTTCAGTTTACATTACTGGGGAGAAATAATGGTGCTATGAGAATGCAGTGGGTAAATCCTTGAAGACTTTAGCAGAATTTATAAAGATAATGAAAGAGCAAGAAATCCAGTAATTAAATTGATACCAGGATAATAGAAGTTTTCCTGTACACTCCACATCATAGTTCCCCAAAGGAAAGTATGTTTCAGCCAAAATTTATGGTTTTTCTCAAGCAAAATTCCTCTGACTTCAGTGGAAAGGATACTTTAGAATGAAGTTTTAAATCTTGACTCTTAATATCTACTTAAGTATTATCTGATTTTGTGCCTGGAGGATAAACAACATATACCATTCTGAAAGTCAAATACAGTTCACACTAAATCTGGGTGGGGTTTTGTTCCCCTATTATTTATGAAGTGTAATTATACTCATGTCCAACTGTCAGCCTGAAACAGCATGCTCAGTGATGAATTCTCCAAGCTCCTACCAGGTGCTTTGTGTGTTGCCTTTGAAATGCTGAGATCTCACAGTGTTCAATACCTTGTCCTGATTTCCAGTGTTGTAAATCATGTCCATGCTTTCATTTGCTCACAGGTCCTAGACAGTTCTCATCTGCAGCCTGTGGGTACTAATAACCAGAAAAAGCCATTAATATCCAAAGTGCTTTATTAGCTAGCAGCACAGAGAGATGGTGTGAGGTTAAACACCAACGGGGCAGCTTAGGAGTATTGTGGCAATGAGCAGTTTTGTGAAGAGCCTGGTGCTGTGAGCAAGCAAAGCCATGGCAGAGCTGGGACCAGAGCCCAGCTCTTCTTGCTGCCATTCCACACCAGACCTGGGGCCATTCAAACAGTTCCTGAAGGGTCATTTCCTTATTTTTGTTGTTTGGGACATAAACAGCTCTCAGTCCTGTAAGTCCTGTAGCGGCTCCTGTATAATTGCAGAATCCTTCTTTAGTCCTTCTTGCACACCCTTGCTGAGCTGGAATCGTGGATCCTGTCTGCAGTGTTTCTACAGAAAATGGAACCAAAGAGGGCAGGATACAGAGACACAGAGGGAGGGAAAAAATGGCTCTTAAATATAAAGAAACACTAGTCAACAGATCCTGTTCCCAGCAGGTCTTTGTGGAAGACCTCGGATTGTGAAATCAGTGAAATCACCATGCAAGGCATTGACAAAAGGCTCTGTGTTTTCTTATATTTAATATATTTTGTTTGAGTTTTTTTGCTAGCTCAACCCTTTAAAAGAGACTTGCATGAGTGGAATGTTAAAGTGAGGATAAAACTTTTGTATCAAAGTCAAACAGTTAATACAAAATGACAGTGAATTAATTTAAAAATCTGCCATTGATTGAAAAATTGAAGTAATCTGTTAAGTGTGACTTTGAAGAAACATTTTTTTTTTTCCTTCTCCACCTTATTCCATTTTATGCCATAGAGTTTTTGTAGTCCAAAAAATAAAAAGGATGTTATGAGCCATGCTGACTTCAGCCAAAACCCTGGGACTCATTCACAAGGGGAATTTGTGCAGGTTGCAGTGCTGTCACTCACTGGCTCAGACTGAGCCATATGCAGGGTAGGAAGGCTGTCACCTGTCCTGTCTGCAGGTGACAAAGGGGGATGTGGCACTTCCCATGGCTCAGCTGGGGCTGGGACCCTGCTCCCAGGCCTTGCACACACCTGTCCCCCACTGAAAGGTGTTTTACTGCCTCCAGATAACAGTGATCTTGTGTAGAGAGAAATCATTTTGGCTGCTGTGACAAGGCAGCCTCAGACCAAAAGCAAGGCAAGTATTTCAGTGTCCCATATCCAGGGAATAGAGGGAAGAGTGTCTTTGCATCGTTCTCCAGACAGAGTCACCTCTGCTTGGTTTCCTTTTTTCTATCCACATCACTGCAAGTAACTCTACCAACAAGGTTAAAAACTGTCCTTAACCGAAGGGATCATTTTATGTGAACATTTCCCTGTAGCAAGACAAAGCCTCTGTACAAGAGACAATCTTGTCTAAATTAATGTATTATTTATTTTGTACCTTTTAAATCACTTTTATTTACAACAAGCCTTAGATACAGCTCACACGCAGTAGTTAAGCTCTGGCAGTACTGACGTCAGGGAGCTAACACATTTGCAAATGACATGTCTAAGTCATAGAAAATAAAAGAAAAAAAATGACTTTAAAATAAGAGTTTTGTCTCGGAGAAGAAGGGCCCCAGGACACGTGTGCAGTGCCTGCAGAACCCCCGGGCGGGGCAGGACACGGAGGGGCCGAGGGCAGGGCAGGGGCTCCGGGCTCGGGGCAGCTCCGCGCTGGCTAATGGCCCCACTCCTCTTCCCGCTCGCCAAGTCCCTCTTCTTCTTCTGGAAACACTGACTCACTCTGACTCTTCAGATGCTTAATCCCTGAAAATACAGAAGTCATGGTTAAGGTTGTATTTGGCTTGCATCAGGTATTTTTTTTTTTTTGTGGAGGAAGAAACAGAAAACCAAAATAAGGGCAAGTTTAATGCTCATATTTGCTCCTTTTTTCACAAATGTCTTAGTTCAAGTCATATGATGGTGTATTTTCAGCAGAGGTATTCTCTTCCTTGAATAAAGGTTCTGAACAGTATTTGCTTCTTTTTTCTTTGGTAAGTCTTGGTCAAGTTTGTGTTGAACATGATTGCAGAGCTGTCCTGAGCCAAAGAGAGCCTGGCAGAGGCTCTGTCCTGACAGAGAGGAGACTGCTGGCACCAAAGCTGTGACAGCACTGGATAGGTTCTTACAGGGAGAATGTGTTCTTTTGACCTCCAAATACCACGAGGGGCTGGATGAAAAGGGTAAATACCTATCACAGGATATTTGGAAGTTCAAATATCCTGGTTTTTGTTATATCAAGTTTTTCATTTGAGGGAAGTTATGAAGTACCTACTGCTGGCTGGTATCACCCAACAAGTGAAGTGGAGTTTATGAAAATGAAGCAAATTACAGATATTTCCCTGTCTCATGTTCAGTACAAGGAAGCAGACTTCAATGAATGGGCTTAATCCCATTTTAACTCCACCTCGGTGTAATAGAATTCGATCTGGAAAAGGAAGCAACATCAAGATAAAAAGATGGCAGAGATGCCAGACAGGAAGAGTTGTTATTTTCAAAAAACCTAAAGAGCAAATGTGCAAGATTAGTCTTGGGGTTCCTCAGTTTATTACAAACAAACTGGGAATATAACTATTGATCAAAAATGCATGATTTGAACAAATTGTCAGCCTGAGTTAGGCTATTTTCTGATGCCATTACTGTCATTGCATAAAATGATTTTTTATTTCATTAAAGATCATACATAGTTCTAGTAACCATCCCTAACTGTTAGGAAAAATGCTTCCCTTTTGTATCACTTCCTGTCTGTGATGAGGAGAAATGACACCCCAGCTGCTTCATATAATCACTGCTAGACAATCAAACACCCCAATGTACACCCTGCAAGTCACAGCACTTGTAGGGGCACATTTTTCAAAAAGGGGTTCACCCTTGAGGGGTGAGGGCAAGATCCTCATTACTGTTAATTGTAAGTAAAAAGAATTGATGAGGGTGTACGTCCAAGAGCTTTGGCCCCAGTGTCTCTTCATCTGGAAGTTCCTACACCTCACTGTTTATGTCCACATCACTCCAAAACACAGGATAGATTTTTTCCAAATATATCACTTGAAAAAAAAATCTCAGCATACGTTATTCCAGTTCCACAAAGTTACAAGTAGCTGAAAACAGTATTTTACAATGGCTGTACAACAACCAGCTCTAGTTCTAACAGGAGCCCATCACTCTCTGCTGGGCTCTGGGCTCCTCTCTCTCTTTTCTTCCACACAAATGACAGCACGCAGTCTCCTGGGAAAACACTGTTCTGACACAAACCAAGAAAATACATTAATGCTCCAAAGACACAATTCTTGTGAGTGTGCCCTGCAATAATCCAGCCATTTCCAATTAAGAGCTGTGATACATGAAACTGCTCAGCTACTACCAAGCCCTTAGCAGCTCCTCTTTAGCAACACCCTTTAGTAAGACAAACACTTTGAATTTGATTTCACCTAGCTACAGGTTACTGGACATTTGTTTCCAAACTATGTTGTGTTTTTAAGGTAAATTTGTCTGCTGTTGTTTCCTCTGCACTTACAGAGCCATTTCTTGCACAATTCACAGTACTCATCTAACAGCTGCTGTTCAGTACTTCTGTCAGGAATTGCTGGAGCCAGAGTGAATAATTTTTTTAGGGAGCTTTTCAAAGACGAGAAGGGCAGAGTTATGGACAGAAAAGAAGGCATGTCATACATGGTATGACGAAACCACGGAACTGTAGTTTTTGTAGGAGTGAAGACTTGTGGCTCTGTGGTTTAATTGCAATATTAAATATGAAAATTGTAGGAAATGGAGAGAAATTACATCACTGAGCATTACCCATTGATTTTTGCATGGCAAGTAGCTATTGATCTTATTTAATGATTTTTTCATAAGCTCCATTCTGCAGCCTGCTTTCACCTCTGCCAGTCATTTTATGCTACAGTGTCCCTTGGAAGTTTCCTTCTCTGACCAGTAAGTGCCCAAGACTTCATATGCTTATATATAAGCCTCAAGATGTTCTCACAGCATCAGGTTGTCAGAATGAACTGACCCTTGGTGTGGCATTATGAAATAAGATGCTCATCTACACAATGGAATAAATTAGTGTGAATTGACATAGAGGAAATGAAATTCCTGTCAGTAACATATGAACATGTATGACAGGAAGTGCGGGTAACTGCCCTGAAAAGATACATTTCCTGCACAAAGCTGCAGACTTTTACAGTGCAAAAAATGGCCTGGAGTAATAAAAATACTTAGTTAAATTTACAGCAACCATACTCCTGGATTAAAAGCATATCTAGCCACATAACACTGCAGTAGCCCTCCGTGGCTGCCAAGGGTGGTCAGAAGGCAGTGGAGCTGGGCAGGTGCACACTGGCACTCTCAGCCACAGCTCCAGAGCAGAGGCTGGCACAGTGGCTCTCCAGCGTGGCTCCAGTGGGGTTATTCAGGCTGTGCCCTGCCCTTTGTCAATATGAACCCTGTGACAAGCAGGCAGTGAGGTGAAGCTCTACCCACAGAGCTGGATCAGTTCAGCATCTTTGCTTAGCAATATCTGAATTGTTTGCTGAAAGGTTACATTCTGTCAGAGACTGAGTAATAATTCATTACTCAGGTCATCTCAGCCATTTTTACAACCACAACTATGGCAGCACTAATTTATGAGAAAGGATATTTCCTTCTCGTATTTCCAATCTTTGTACCAGTGTCACAGCTCATGCCCTCAGCTTTCTCAGCTAGTAACCAAGAAGGACCAAAGTGCTGCAATTTGGGGATTATTTCTGTTCGCTGATTGAACACAGTGTAAAGATGAGCATGAAATACAGACTGTAAGATTTTACTTGTAGCAAAAAGCTAAAAAAAAGCCAGGATATTTTGGAAGAAATTGTTTGTATGTAAGAGCACATCCAAATTAGAAACATCAAGTTACTGACTCCACATAAACTGCACAAACTTTACAGTGTCAGTAGCAAATAGGGAGGAGTGCAAATGCTGATCCATGGAGTCACCCCGTCCCATCAATGTCCCTTTTCCAGGCAGTGAATTTGTGGGAACTCAGTTTCCTGAAGAGCTGTGCCTGCTGCTCCATTTCTCTCACTGGGTGCCCTGCGCTGCTCTGCCCTTTCTTGGGGATGGGGCTCACAGGGTGTCACCCTTCCGCTGTCCCCATGGGCTCCCAATCCCCTCTGCTTCTGATCTCCCAATCCCCTCTGCTTCTGATCTCCCAATCCCCTCTGCAGCTGACCCAGCCCCTGCTTCACAGTGTCACACCTTGACTGGGGCTCTACTCTTCACCTGGGATGTCTGGCAGCAAAAATCCCCTTCCAGACCAAACACTGCCCCTTCTCACCACTCCCTGAAAATGTCTCATACCCACAATGTCTTCACACTCATCCTTATGCTACTTTAAAGCAAAGTGTGTCTGAACACCGCTAAAGCCAGCAGGACAAGAATTGTTTTTCCTCAAAGGGCTTATGTTTCACTGCAGGTAATTTAATACAATTAATGTTGATAAACAAACTCATAATTCCAAGCCAGATTGAGCAGCTATACACAAATATAATTTGAACTGTCAATTCTTTTTAGATGAAGTCACTGTCTCAAAGAATATTTGTAGAATTCTAGATACTTATAAATTATGAATGAGAATGGGACAATTTTGTGTCATTTTTGTAGTCACATCACATCCATGCTGCTTCATCAGCAGCTGTCTTTTAGCTTCTCTCCATCTAACCAAAGCACCAGCTCAGAAAGCTAAGTAGGGTCACAAGATTTGAAACAACCAAGTGTTCCTGAATTAAATATCGCCTGGAAAAAAATTTTAAAAATATTCAAGTAATTAAGGCAGCTCCCCATCCTATTTAACACTTCTTCCTTCACTCTGCTTCACTGCCCAAGGAAGAGTGTTGACATTTACCAAACTCAGGATTGAAGTCTGGTTGGCAGCTTGAATTCCCTAAAGTTTGAAGGGTTATTTAGTTTTACGATTTGGAGCTGATCCTCTCTCTATCAAAAACACATTTCCAGATTTGCAGAAAGCAGTGAAAGGCACAGATAAAACAGGCTCATTTTCAGCGTTTCAGAACTCAAATCACTTAGAAATAATCATGCAAACAGACCTGGCCAAAGAGGATAACAGCCAAATAAAAACATCTAAGCCAGTGCTAAATTAATTGTTTTCTATTTTCCTTAGCAAAAATGAGAATATAAAAAGAAATATCATAGACTCATACCACTAAACAAGAAAAAGGATTATTCTTTTAATGGTACATTCTGGTTTGCATTTACTTGTTAAATAAGTTTAAATTATGTTTCTCTGATGTGTCTTCCTCATAATGTTTTTTTTTCCCAATTCAAGTTTTGATTTAAAATATGCCGACAAAACAAATAAACAAACAGACAGAAAACACAAAACCCAAACAAACAACAAAAACAACCAAACAGGAAAAACCCCTCAAATTAACATCACTAAATCCAGCATCCACAAAGACCACAGGTCTTTGGCTGGGCTGCGTGCAGAGGAAAGCACTTGGGAAGAACCAAATGAAGCTGGCAGGTCTTCCAGGGCATACAGAGGGATGGCCCCTGCAGTTACAGGAGGGACCAGCAGCTGCATCAGGTCAGGGGCAACTTTGGGGCAGCTAACAGCAGCCTGCCTGTACCAAGGAATGTTACACAGAAGGTGATGGTGTCTGGTTGTGAATTGTGAAAAGACTATTTTCTGACTGGACATAAGGAAGAAATTATTCCACTGAGTGTACTTAAGCACTGGTGTGATTTCACAGTGAAAATGTGATGTGTCTCTT